TGAAAAAAAAAATGTTATTTATTATCTACAAGAGAAAAATGATCATTCACTAGTGGACTATTTTTCACGAGTACATAAACATTCTTTATCATCGAGTGTAATATTTTATTTTATTTTCTACCAGATTTTAACTAAAACTTTAAAACTGTTCGAATGTGCTGTACGTAATATTTTTAATACGCTGCGTCGCGCATCGGCGAATGCAAACGTGTTGGCTAATACATGTGTTGTCTTGGTTTGACTTTGGTTTCAATTTGTAATCTTAACAAATAACAAAATAAATTGTAGATAAAAGACTCCTTTATCTACCGGTAAACAAGACTTGTTTATCTACTAAACATAAGGCCAAACGACCTACTTTTAATGGCTGGTACAAAATAAAAGATTTTTTTAAATTTATTAGGAGTTTCCACAGTTCCGTATTTGCAAATTTTTTTCTCATCAATAAGGAAGTTTGGCACGCATAAGGTTTTCAAGCCCATGAGACTTCTGCTAATTGACGAAATGTTAAAAAAATAACTTAATGTAATTATTTAGAATAAATGCATAATAAAAAACCAAAAGAAATTTTACACACCATTTGAGGTTCCAAAATATACTCGTAAAATTTATTTATATCAACTTTAATAGAAATTACATACTTATTGACAAAAACATCTAAAAGCTATTTATAACAGTATTCTTCATTAAAATTAAAAAAAAAAGTCAAAGTTTAATCATACACAAATTCAAGATTTGTAAACCACAAATACAAGAGTATATCATTTCATACAATTCTGGTAATGTTGACTATGCAGCATAATGAGCAGACGTCATCAAATTGTTGGTGGGGATGGTTAACTAAATTTTGGTTCGCGTTTTACCATTTACATGATATTCGTAATATACAAACAAAATTTGACAACAATCGATCCAGTAGTTTAGGAGATTATCTGTCTAATCAAAATCGATACAGACGGACAGACAGAAACGGTAGACTATTTTTTTTGTACTCTGGGGGGTCATGAAACGTAAAGAAAACATGAAACTGGTAAGCCGCCCGATGGATTCCTTCACTTACGTTCGGAAAGTAAAAAAGCCTAGTAATCATCCACTTCATTCAATTTTAATTTTTCATTATTAGGGAGTTGCCAATGTTGCCTCTTTATAGAAATTTTTTTTACCAATCAAGAAATTTGGCACACACTAAATTATTCAGTTGCATTAAACTTCTACTAACTGACGAAATCTTGCAAACATGATGCTAAATGTATTTATAATAAATACAAAAAAAAAAAACAATTTTACACAATATGTATTTGAGATGAGGTTACAAAAATATACGGCTCCAGACTATTTATATTAACTTTATTAGAAAAATAAAAAAAAGTCTTAAAGCACAACCTATACATCAGTGACTCTAATCATATTCCTTTTAATTTTTTGAAAATACATTATGTTTTGATATTTTCAGAAGGTTCCCGAACTTGCGCATTTACGCGAACATCTCTTGACAGGAGGGAAGTTTGGCACACAGGAAGATTTCGCTTTTTTCTAATGCTGCGATTCCATCTAAATAAAATAATAATTTTGTTTCAAAGTAGACAAAAAATTAAAAAAAAAAATACAAAATGTGTTATAAATAAATGTTTTTACTATAAAAACTACATAAATAACGAAGGTGCCAAATTTCCTGAATTGTAAGAAAAACATTTTTATAAATATGACTCAAAAAAATTAATGAATGCGTGAATTTATTTTATTGATTTAATCAGGAATTACAGAACCGAATGCTTTAAAATCTTGGAGATGTTTTAAAGTTATTATAAGCATGGCAAATTTTTTATCAAAATGTATTTGCTCATCCCCCCTAAAAAAATTGATGACGTCACCCCAAATTTGGTGAATACATTTTATCTAAAATGTACAAAATATAATGAGTCTGTACTTGTGATTTATCATTCCGTTCATATTTTTTGGATTTGCATATACAGGGTGACTCAAAAAAATTAATGAATGCGTGAATTTATTTTATTGATTTAATCAGGAATTACAGAACCGAATGCTTTGAAATCTTGGACATGTTTTAAAGTTATCCTAAGCATGGTAAATTTTTGATCAATTGTTTATCAACCCCAAAAAATTGATTACGTCATGTCAAAATTTTGCCAAATAAATCCTTTCGAAAATATGCAAAATATGATCAGACTATACTTGTAATTTATGGTTGGATTCATATTTTTTAAATTCGCTTATACAGGGTGACTCAAAAAAATTTATGAATTAGTCAATTTATTTTTGATCAAATTAAGAACGAGCCGCGACTTTCAGACTGAAAGCGATTTTATTAAAATGGCCCGTCACAGAACTCTAATGAGAAGAAACTATGACAGACATAGAGACACGGTTCTAAGAGCGAGGGAAGTACTGTCTAAACTCTTTAGACGAATTTTTTGAATTTATGACCCTGATCGTAATCACACATCTTATGGAAATAAAACGTGGATTTATATTAGTTCACTCCAATAAAATTAGGAAGATATTGTTCTAGTAGTTATCCACATTATTCCATTCATTTAGTCTTTTTTTGAAAAAAAAAATGTTATTTATTATCTACAAGAGAAAAATGATCATTCACTAGTGGACTATTTTTCACGAGTACATAAACATTCTTTATCATCGAGTGTAATATTTTATTTTATTTTCTACCAGATTTTAACTAAAACTTTAAAACTGTTCGAATGTGCTGTACGTAATATTTTTAATACGCTGCGTCGCGCATCGGCGAATGCAAACGTGTTGGCTAATACATGTGTTGTCTTGGTTTGACTTTGGTTTCAATTTGTAATCTTAACAAATAACAAAATAAATTGTAGATAAAAGACTCCTTTATCTACCGGTAAACAAGACTTGTTTATCTACTAAACATAAGGCCAAACGACCTACTTTTAATGGCTGGTACAAAATAAAAGATTTTTTTAAATTTATTAGGAGTTTCCAGAGTTCCGTATTTGCAAATTTTTTTCTCATCAATAAGGAAGTTTGGCACGCATAAGGTTTTTAAGCCCATGAGACTTCTGCTAATTGACGAAATGTTAAAAAAATAACTTAATGTAATTATTTAGAATAAATGCATAATAAAAAACCAAAAGAAATTTTACACACCATTTGAGGTTCCAAAAATATACTCGTAAAATTTATTTATATCAACTTTAATAGAAATTACATACTTATTGACAAAAACATCTAAAAGCTATTTATAACAGTATACTTCATTAAAATTAAAAAAAAAAGTCAAAGTTTAATCATACACAAATTCAAGATTTGTAAACCACAAATACAAGAGTATATCATTTCATACAATTCTGGTAATGTTGACTATGCAGCATAATGAGCAGACGTCATCAAATTGTTGGTGGGGATGGTTAACCAAATTTTGGTTCGCGTTTTACCATTTACATGATATTCGTAATATACAAACAAAATTTGACAACAATCGATCCAGTAGTTTAGGACATTATCTGTCTAATCAAAATCGATACAGACGGACAGACAGAAACGGTAGACTATTTTTTTTGTACTCTGGGGGGTCATGAAACGTAAAGAAAACATGAAACTGGTAAGCCGCCCGATGGATTCCTTCACTTACGTTCGGAAAGTAAAAAAGCCTAGTAATCATCCACTTCATTCAATTTTAATTTTTCATTATTAGGGAGTTGCCAATGTTGCCTCTTTATAGAAATTTTTTTTACCAATCAAGAAATTTGGCACACACTAAATTATTCAGTTGCATTAAACTTCTACTAACTGACGAAATCTTGCAAACATGATGCTAAATGTATTTATAATAAATACAAAAAAAAAAAACAATTTTACACAATATGTATTTGAGATGAGGTTACAAAAATATACGGCTCCAGACTATTTATATTAACTTTATTAGAAAAATAAAAAAAAGTCTTAAAGCACAACCTATACATCAGTGACTCTAATCATATTCCTTTTAATTTTTTGAAAATACATTATGTTTTGATATTTTCAGAAGGTTCCCGAACTTGCGCATTTACGCGAACATCTCTTGACAGCAGGGAAGTTTGGCACACAGGAAGATTTCGCTTTTTTCTAATGCTGCGATTCCATCTAAATAAAATAATAATTTTGTTTCAAAATAGACAAAAAATTAAAAAAAAAATACAAAATGTGTTATAAATAAATGTTTTTACTATAAAAACTACATAAATAACGAAGGTGCCAAATTTCCTGAATTGTAAGAAAAACATTTTTATAAATATGGAAGTTTAACAACACATTTAATGAGTACAATTTACAAAAAATAATGAACAGAAAATGTGTTTGTTATAGATAGTTTCCAACCAAACTTCTACATTTACACAAATTTTAAACTGTTTTTTCATCTAATTTTTTCATATAGTTTCCACACATTTATTTGTCAGTCCACCAACTGAGAAAACTTAACTAACATTGAAAAACTTCACTGTCTGTTTCTCACAGAGAGGGTTAAAAGCATCTCTCAACTTTTTATTTCTGGTTCAAAGTTTTTGATAAAATCAACTTTGGTTGAGATATTCTCCTGGTGAATTGTCGATTGAATCTGAAGGACAGGAAATTTGTTTTAACCGAAAATGCTGTCTTTACAGCCCATTTTTCTCTTCAAGGGTTTAGAAGTACTAACACAGTTTCAGATGTTGGCAGCACTCCCAGTCTCGATTATTAACTGGTATTCCTCCAGTGAATTTGCTGCGGAAGCTGAAGGATGGTAAATTCTTCCTACTAATTAGAAAGTATAACCTTAGCAAGTAAACATTAAAACATTTGTTTAACAACATCGCGTTTATAAAACTTGCACTGAACTGGTGAGAAAACCAAATCTTTCTTGATAATATCTCAATATCCACTGTCAATTTAGAAAACTCACTTATATTTATTATTGTAGATAAAAATCTATTTATCGTGTTGTTATGATTTCGAGTAAGTTCCATTCCACACTGTTCACACAAAAATAAAAATTTGACTGACCTCTACAAACTACAATGGCTGTAAACACTTGCAATGATGCATAGTTTTCTACAATTTAGTCAAAACAGTGTTTAACGAAGCTAGCAAAATTACGTGCTGCTATCACTGAGCAAGTGGCCAAACTGTCATTTCAGGTGAGATGTAGCTAAGATATAAACCAAGACGGCATGAATTGCGCTGTTGTCACATGAGCACCCTATGCGAAACTGCCTGCTAGATGAATATATATATATATATATATATATACATGTATGACGGATGATACGAAGCCCGGTATGTAATGCAGGCTCTCAGAAGCCCGGGCTTTCTACATGCAATACCGATCTATAAGTCGAATATATCGCTTTATTGTAAAATGTTTAGTGGGGGCAACTTGAGAGGGGTAGAAATTATTTACATACACCAAAAGCCTTACTTTGCTGTTTTAACGAAGCCATTGATATACAACATGAAATGCGAAGCCCGGCTGTATAAAATGCAGATATTTCACATGTGAAATGCAACCATGCTGCGTTGCCATTTTGCTATTGTTTCTCAGCCTTCTGATGAGATCATTTTAATTCTTGTGATCGAAGTGCACGTACGAGGTGCTAGCATGGACCACTTTAAGTTTTTGGTTAGTTTGGCTACTCAAAACGAAATTGGTAAGTATCTTGCAATATTTAAGTAGTTGGGATAATAAAAGCAATCTGCATCACATGTTAATGTGTTTTTTTGAGAGAAAATAAAAAATTTAAATTTTTTAGAAAAAAAATCAAAATTATGAAACAACATTTTGCAATTTAATTTGGAATCTGCAAAACCGAATGTTTTGAAATCTTGCAGATGTATTAAAGTTATGATAAGCATGGTAAATTTTTAATCAAAATCTATTTGGTCATCCCCCTAAAAAATTGCTGACGTCACCCCAAAATTTAGCTGAATAAGTCCTATCTAAAATGTATAAAATATGATGAGTCTGTACATGTGATGTACTATTCCATTAATACTTTTTAAATTTCCATATACGGGATGTTTCAAAAAATTTAATGACACTGAGTCAATTTATTTTATTGATTAATTCAGGGACTGCAAAACCAAATGCTTTGAAATCTTGCAGACATTTTGAAGTTATTGTAAGCATAGTAAATTGTTAATCCAAGTATATCTATTTGTTCTCCCCAAAAAAATTCTACCTAAAATGTGCGAAATATGATGAGTTTTTACTTGTGATAGTATTACCCTACACCAGTCCAAGTTTATACATACACGTGTCCTTGTAAAAATGTTGATGATGTTTTTAAACTTATGCTTAAAAAAGTTACTCTAAATACAATTTTTTAACAGGTTACCCCAAGATATTTTTCAAACTGCAAAGGTGGCCAAAGTATTAATGTTGTTAGAAAAAGGCAGAGGAAGACAATTTATAGGAAAAAGCCTCGATGAAATAAAAATAGACAAGGATATGTATTTAAATTCTGATGACGAAGACTCTTTTCGTAATACAGCTAGTTTTGAAAATGTTGAAAGTGAAGAAATTTCACAGTTTGGGCCGGAAAATGCAGAATGCACGGAGAGCACTTCTCAACTTAATGCTGAACCAGGTCCTTCAAGCATGGAAGCTGCAGTTAAAAAAGGTGCCTAATTGTTCAGTTAAGATCCATAATAAGTTGTTACGGAGTATTAATTTTAGGAGGGAAGAAAATAAAACCATGTGGCCGCGTTCGTTGGACAGAAACTGAAAAGACAATTGTTATAAAAAAAACATCAGCATGCTTAGCTAGCAGTTCATCACATTCATATTTTTTTGGTGTGATTTTCTTTTGAATATGCAGTTTGAAGTAATCCGTATATTAAACAAGGATTGGGTGCGCATTAAAACTTTTGTGTACAATGTGTTTAGACAAAAAGTTATTTAATAAAACCTATTTTCATGATTTTTGTTTCTAATTTGATTTTTGCAACGGGTCAGCGGCTTTAAAATACTTTAATGCCGCTCATGACTGGAGTTAAAATAAAAAACTGGCAAATTATAATTATTATTTATTGAAATGTAAATTGAAAGTACAGTTACTAATATTTGCATTTTGAAAATTACAAGCACTAGAAAAAGCCGAGTCCTATACATCATCAGCTATACTTATAGTCAAACAGTATTGACACAATTCATTGAAAATCCCTGGGAAGGTTCCTCGGAAGGTTTTTATAGCAGACGTACTTGCAATGCTCTTTGTTGATCAAATTTTAGTTGCTATTTCTTTCTTGTTGGCTGAGGGGCCAATTCCAAGTTGGTGGCGCAAGTCACTGGTGCAGCGCAACTTTATAATGCTAATTTGGGTATCAAATGCTGGTTGCTAGGGGTGACGGAATAAACAAGCGCAATTTTTCTAGATAAATTGCGCCAACTTGCACTGCCTACTAGAGGTGCCGCAACTCCATGGTGCAAATTTCAATGGAAAGTTCGACAAAACTGCGTTTGTTGATTCCGTCACCCCTAGCAACCAGCATTTGATACCCAAGTTAGCATTATAAAGTTGCGCTGCACCAGTGACTTGCGCCACCAACTTGGAATTGGCCCCTAAAGAGTCTTCAATATAGCCGTCAGCTACACTGCTGGGCTTCCAACCTCCATGTCTTTTTAAGCATGTAAGATTGGCTCCACTATCCACAAGCAGTGTAGCTGAAGTGCGCCGAAGACAGTGTCCTGTGTACTCTGTAATGCGGTAATCTCAGATAAGATGCAGCATTCTTGGGTACTATGAATACCCATTACAGCACGATGACATTTTCCTTTGCAATATTTTAAGAAAAAACGTCGTTCCGGAATATTTTCTAGTCTCAGCGAAACATATTTTCTACAGATGCTTGTGTAAGGTTCTCCAATTACTGTAAACGATCGTTTCTTATGCGTTTTTGAATCAGGAATGTTGATCAAAAGCAGAGATCCTAGATCCTGGACATCGCTGGTTCCCATTTTTATCATTTCATCACAACGGCAACCAGCCGCTTTTCCAATCATCAAAATTACCTAAACATGAATATTATCTAGTTTACTTATATCGAAATTTCGAAATACTGAAAACTAAACTTTATTGCCAAATATTCGTCATCCGAAGCTTCATTCAAGAACTTTTCAAATTGGTGAACACCTTCGACTTTTTCGGAACATAGCCTTCACTCTGTTTTTTCAGGTACGCACGCAGTTTTAAGTAGGTACTTGCTGATGTATACTCCTTCTTTAATGTTCAACAAAGATCGTATCATTGAGTATTGAGACCATAACGACGAACATTTAATTTTTATAATAATAATAATAATAGTTTATTTACGAGAACCCTCATGGTATTACAGAAAAACAAAAATATAAGAATAATACAAAATAACTAAACTAAACTAACTTAAATAAACTTACACTTTTTGTGGAGAGTTCACGAAAATACGGCAATAAAACAATTTCCGAATAATTTTCAGCGTTTTTTTTCTTGCACCATTTAATAAATTTGCTGTATGTGGCTTCATATAATGCACTTGATTTTGTTGTAAATTGTAAATTGTAAATTGTTTACAGCTTTTGCTGCAGCCTGAACAATTTCAAAAGGTCTGTTTACTTCTTCTGCCATTTTCTAGCCTCTACCTGCTACAAAAATAATGCTGTAATATCTAAAATGATTATAATTATAGAGAAATACTTACCAATATTCGTAAAAACACGTAAGAAATTGCGAAAAATTGGAATCTTTTTTATATTGACAATGATGTTACAGCAAATGGCCACAGCAAACTAACAAATCGCAAGCGTAAACGTAATTTTCAGGGGCAAATTCGGTCTTAAAGCAAATTTGGAGCTCGTTTGGACAAAAAATAGCATATTTTATTCGGAGCTAAACATTTTTTTTGCTCGTCTGTTATTTCTGAACTCACTACGTTCGTCTGGCAAACCTACAAACTCGCCAGAAAAAATAATGTTTTAGCTCCTCATAAAATAATATACTATTTGTTACTCAGAGAAAACAGCAATTATTATTCGGTCTATGTTTTTTTATTGAGAAACAGTAAAATAAAAAACTACAATCAGTTGGTCTGAATCATTTAAGCGTTTATTTTTACAACTCCAGAGCAACCATTTTAATTCCAAAAATGAAATAATGTGTATAGCTCCCATAGTTCTGAAAAAGCTAGTGTCTTTTTACAAAGAAAAGACAATACAAAAAAACATACTGCATTTGACAAAGCTATTCTAATATAGAATAAATTGACATAACTCTTTTTTGCAATAAAAAACAAATGGATATGGATTTTTTTTGTATTTATCAAAGTAAATGCTAACGTTTTGGAAAGACTAACTTTAAAATTCTAAAAAAAAATGGTTTAATTACTTACAACCACTTTAAAATAGTAAAATTTGTTTTTACTTTGGTTTTGGAAAATGTGGTGAAGGACATAAACTTGTGCTGAAAACAGCTGCTGCAATTGAGAAAAAAAAATGTTTGTACACAACTCTGAAAATGTTGTTTTGAAGCAAAGAAAAGAAATGTTTCAGTTTTAAAAACAGCTGCCCTATTGATAAAAGAATTGTTTCAGTAGTATAAAATACTGACGTATTTGTGAAAAAGGTTCTTAAAAGAATTGGTAGTTTTAAAATGTACTGCTAAAGTTTCTAAAAGAATTAACAAAAAGGAATTGCCACAGTTTTACAACTGATAAAATTCGGCAAAGAACTGGCAGTTAAAAAAAATGGTGCAGTACCGAAAAGACCTTAAATAATTTATTTATTAAAGAAAATATAACTAATTCAATAGGTATTTTGTTTTTAATCAATGTAGGTAAATAACTTCACTTCATAGGTATTTAGTTAGGTATATGTACAAAGTTCAATATTGGGTACCTAGCGCAACTAAAGTAATTCTTCCCTAAGCGCTCCCAATCAAACATAAACAGTGTTGACAAATTTAGGGCTTTGCATAATTCGCAGCAAATAGTTGGTTCTTATAATCCGCCATGTCCCTGCACTCTGTATATTTTATATACAGAATAAAACTGGGACGCCCCCTACAGAAAGATGGTGTGAACTATACCCCGTGTATTTGCAGATACAAGGCATCATTACTGAGCCCGCATTAATTCTACATTTTTGTTAATACCAACTTAACGGTAAAAACTACGACGATATACGCGTGATTTTTACGAAGCCCACTTCAACTAGGATCTTTCCAGCATATTATATTTTATCAATACCAACCCAACCGCAAGAAATAAATTTTAATACACATGATTTTTACGAAGCCCGGTTTCGGGCTTCGTAAGTCGGTGTCGGGTTTAGTATAAGCTGTGGAATATAGCATTGTGGGCTTCGTAATGGACGATTACATGTCTATATATTCATCTAGCAGGCAGTTTCGCATAGGGTGCTCATGTGACAACAGCGCAATTCATGCCGTCTTGGTTTATATCTTAGCTACATCTCACCTGAAATGACAGTTTGGCCACTTGCTCAGTGATAGCAGCACGTAATTTTGCTAGCTTCGTTAAACACTGTTTTGACTAAATTGTAGAAAACTATGCATCATTGCAAGTGTTTACAGCCATTGTAGTTTGTAGAGGTCAGTCAAATTTTTATTTTTGTGTGAACAGTGTGGAATGGAACTTACTCGAAATCATAACAACACGATAAATAGATTTTATCGCATACCATATCGCTAAATGTCAATTTATGTTACCATGGATAGACCGATAAGTTGAATTTTAGCGGCCGAGTCCCCTAAGATTTAATTTTAGCGGCCTAGACCCCTATTGTGACACAAATTATAATTAAACAAAACAACTATTTACAATAATATTTATTCAAATGAAGGCGTTTCTACTTCTTTGGAGGGTCACAGAAGTAGAACGTACCTCCTGATACATTGTTGAAATGAATAGATGGAATAAACTTAGACGACAAATTGGATACATGTAAAGTTTGATTAGCTGAAACATTGGCTTCAACAAAAGTACTGTTAGCTAATGTAGCAGAAGAATCACATGTACTTGAAGATGATGAGGTAGTTTGCACCCCTCCTCCCAAGATTCTTTTCGAAGCTTCGATTTTGGTATTCATTGAGTCCTCGATGTAGCCCTCTGCAACCGTCGACGACTTCCACCCCCCATGACGTTTTAGGGCTAAAAGGTCGCTTCCGCTGTCGACCAAAAGTGAAGCAGACGTTCTACGGTAACAGTGGCCTGTGAACAATTCAGGGTTCGCCAAATTTAGAAATTGTGCGATTTTCTGAGGTATGGAAGCTATGGTGTGGACTCCTACAGGCTGCGCATTACATTTACCATTCCGGTAGTTCAAGAACAAACGTGACATATGGCTATGTTTGTTTCGTAACAGCATGTACTTTCGAAATAAAAGTAAACAATTGCTTCCGTCATCATCTGAAATGGCAAATACCCTACGCTTGTGTGTTTTCGTATTTGGTATTGTGATTACGACCATAGAATCTCTATCATCAACATCTTTAATTGTTATTTGGACTAATTCATTGCGGCGACAAGCTCCAGCCATACCCACAATTAACACTGCCTTAAATGAAAGTAAAGCCAAATATCAGCATTAACCTAATAAAACTATTTTCTCTTTACTTTCATTAGTAGAAAGGTCTCGTCTGGTGCTGTATCCAGAAATTTTCGAACTTCCTCTCTTGACAAGATTTTTGATTTCTTAGGTTCGTAGCCAGTGGATTGACGCTTTAGGAATGCGATTAACTTTGCGAATCTTCGGAAAAAATTCAAACAATAAGAAAATAGACACAAGTTATTATTTGAAAGATATAAACTATTTTTGACAAATATAATTTATATTTTTTTGATAAGGAAAAGACTGCAATACATACCTGGAAATGTTAACATTCTCGTTAACAGAAATCGTGCTCTTAAGCATTGAATAATGGGCCCAAAGTGAGGATGATTTCAATCGTTCCGACTTTTCTGCAAAATACGCTAAAATGATTTCCTCGTTCACCCCCTTTGCACGTTTGCTTTCTCGCCATTTTCCAAAAGCTTCGTATTCTTTTTCGTAGTGTGAACGGGACTTTACAGGTAACAGATTCTCAGTTATTGTCTTCGCTTTTCGTGAAAGTTCTTCTGGTATAAACACTTTTTGTTGTAAATTTGACACACCAGCCATTTTTTAGCTTCTTTTTCGTTGTTTATTTATTCATAAATTGTCATGAGCAACCAAACACAACGCTCTCTTAGTTATGAGAGGCTAATGTTTTATAACATTTCTGTGAACTGTTCTTGTAAAGAAAAGGGTATGGTATGCGATAAAATAGTATATGTAAACTCGGAATAAGGCATATTAGCGGCCTTGCTCGGCATAATATCCTCGGCTTTCGCCTCGGACATTATTACGCCGAACGCGGCCGCTAATATGCTCCTTATTGTCCTCGTTACATAATATACTATTTATCTACAATAATAAATATAAGTGAGTTTTCTAAATTGACAGTGGATATTGAGATATTATCAAGAAAGATTTGGTTTTCTCACCAGTTCAGTGCAAGTTTTATAAACGCGATGTTGTTAAACAAATGTTTTAATGTTTACTTGCTAAGGTTAGACGTTCTAATTAGTAGGAAGAATTTACCATCCTTCAGCTTCCGCAGCAAATTCACTGGAGGAATACCAGTTAATAATCGAGACTGGGAGTACTGCCAACATCTGAAACTGTGTTAGTACTTCTAAACCCTTGAAGAGAAAAATGGGCTGTAAAGACAGCATTTTCGGTTAAAACAAATTTCCTGTCCTTCAGATTCAATCGACAATTCACCAGGGGAATATCTCAACCAAAGTTAATTTTATCAAAAACTTTGAACCAGAAATAAAAAGTTGAGAGATGCTTTTAACCCTCTCTGTGAGAAACAGACAGTGAAGTTTTTCAATGTTAGTTAAGTTTTCTCAGTTGGTGGACTGACAAATAAATGTGTGGAAACTATTTGAAAAAATTAGATGAAAAAACAGTTTAAAATTTGTGTAAATGTAGAAGTTTGGTTGGAAACTATCTATAACAAACACATTTTCTGTTCATTATTTTTTGTAAATTGTACTCATTAAATGTGTTGTTAAACTTCCATATTTATAAAAATGTTTTTCTTACAATTCAGGAAATTTGGCACCTTCGTTATTTATGTAGTTTTTATAGTAAAAACATTTATTTATAACACATTTTGTATTTTTTTTTTAATTTTTTGTCTACTTTGAAACAAAATTATTATTTTATTTAGATGGAATCGCAGCATTAGAAAAAAGCGAAATCTTCCTGTGTGCCAAACTTCCCTCCTGTCAAGAGATGTTCGCGTAAATGCGCAAGTTCGGGAACCTTCTGAAAATATCAAAACATAATGTATTTTCAAAAAATTAAAAGGAATATGATTAGAGTCACTGATGTATAGGTTGTGCTTTAAGACTTTTTTTTATTTTTCTAATAAAGTTAATATAAATAGTCTGGAGCCGTATATTTTTGTAACCTCATCTCAAATACATATTGTGTAAAATTGTTTTTTTTTTTTGTATTTATTATAAATACATTTAGCATCATGTTTGCAAGATTTCGTCAGTTAGTAGAAGTTTAATGCAACTGAATAATTTAGTGTGTGCCAAATTTCTTGATTGGTAAAAAAAATTTCTATAAAGAGGCAACATTGGCAACTCCCTAATAATGAAAAATTAAAATTGAATGAAGTGGATGATTACTAGGCTTTTTTACTTTCCGAACGTAAGTGAAGGAATCCATCGGGCGGCTTACCAGTTTCATGTTTTCTTTACGTTTCATGACCCCCCAGAGTACAAAAAAAATAGTCTACCGTTTCTGTCTGTCCGTCTGTATCGATTTTGATTAGACAGATAATCTCCTAAACTACTGGATCGATTGTTGTCAAATTTTGTTTGTATATTACGAATATCATGTAAATGGTAAAACGCGAACCAAAATTTGGTTAACCATCCCCACCAACAATTTGATGACGTCTGCTCATTATGCTGCATAGTCAACATTACCAGAATTGTATGAAATGATATACTCTTGTATTTGTGGTTTACAAATCTTGAATTTGTGTATGATTAAACTTTGACTTTTTTTTTTAATTTTAATGAAGTATACTGTTATAAATAGCTTTTAGATGTTTTTGTCAATAAGTATGTAATTTCTATTAAAGTTGATATAAATAAATTTTACGAGTATATTTTTGGAACCTCAAATGGTGTGTAAAATTTCTTTTGGTTTTTTATTATGCATTTATTCTAAATAATTACATTAAGTTATTTTTTTAACATTTCGTCAATTAGCAGAAGTCTCATGGGCTTGAAAACCTTATGCGTGCCAAACTTCCTTATTGATGAGAAAAAAATTTGCAAATACGGAACTCTGGAAACTCCTAATAAATTTAAAAAAATCTTTTATTTGGTACCAGCCATTAAAAGTAGGTCGTTTGGCCTTATGTTTAGTAGATAAACAAGTCTTGTTTACCGGTAGATAAAGGAGTCTTTTATCTACAATTTATTTTGTTATTTGTTAAGATTACAAATTGAAACCAAAGTCAAACCAAGACAACACATGTATTAGCCAACACGTTTGCATTCGCCGATGCGCGACGCAGCGTATTAAAAATATTACGTACAGCACATTCGAACAGTTTTAAAGTTTTAGTTAAAATCTGGTAGAAAATAAAATAAAATATTACACTCGATGATAAAGAATGTTTATGTTCTCGTGAAAAATAGTCCACTAGTGAATGATCACTTTTCTCTTGTAGATAATAAATAACATTTTTTTTTTCAAAAAAAGACTAAATGAATGGAATAATGTGGATAACTACTAGAACAATATCTTCCTAATTTTATTGGAGTGAACTAATATAAATACACGTTTTATTTCCATAAGATGTGTGATTACGATCAGGGTCATAAATTCAAAAAATTGGTCTAAAGAGTTTAGACAGTACTTCCCTCGCTCTTAGAACCGTGTCTCTATGTCTGTCATAGTTTCTTCTCATTAGAGTTCTGTGACGGGCCATTTTAATAAAATCGCTTTCAGTCTGAAAGTCGCGGCTCGTTCTTAATTTGATCAAAAATAAATTGACTAATTCATAAATTTTTTTGAGTCACCCTGTATAAGCGAATTTAAAAAATATGAATCCAACCATAAATTACAAGTATAGTCTGATCATATTTTGCATATTTTCGAAAGGATTTATTTGGCAAAATTTTGACATGACGTAATCAATTTTTTGGGGTTGATAAACAATTGATCAAAAATTTACCATGCTTAGGATAACTTTAAAACATGTCCAAGATTTCAAAGCATTCGGTTCTGTAATTCCTGATTAAATCAATAAAATAAATTCACCCATTCATTAATTTTTTTGAGTCACCTGTATATGCAAATCCAAAAAATATGAACGGAATGATAAATCACAAGTACAGACTCATTATATTTTGTACATTTTAGATAAAATGTATTCACCAAATTTGGGGTGACGTCATCAATTTTTTTAGGGGGGATGAGCAAATACATTTTGATAAAAAATTTGCCATGCTTATAATAACTTTAAAACATCTCCAAGATTTCAAAGCATTCGGTTCTGTAATTCCTGATTAAATCAATAAAATAAATTCACGCATTCATTAATTTTTTTGAGTCACCCTGTATATGCAAATCCAAAAAAATATGACTGGAATGATAAATCACAAGTACAGACTCATCATATTTTCTACATTTTAGATAGGATTTATTCAACAAAATTTAGAGCTGACGTCAACAATTTTTTGGAGGGAATAAGTAAATATATTTTGATTAAAAATTTTTCATGCTTATCATAACTGTAAACCATCTGCAAGATTTCAGAGCATTCGGTTTTGCAGATTCCAAATTAAATTGCAAAATGTTGTTTCAAAATTTTGTTTTTTTTTTTTCAAAAATCTGGACGTTTCGGGTAAAAACTCAAGTCGGAGTCATAAACTACATGTGTAGGACTATATTGTTTTGTACAATTTAAAACCTATTTACTATGTACAGTTTTGAAGTGACGTCATCACATTATTGGTGGGGATGATTAGACAAATTTTGGTTAGCCTTTTACCATCTACATGATATTCCTAATATAAATACAAAATTTCACAACATCGGTCCAGTACTTTCGGAGATTATTTGTCTAATAAAAATCGGAGACGGCAGACGGACAGACGGACAGACAGACGGACAGACAGACGGAAATGGGAGACCTATTTTTTCGTCCTCTAGGGGTCATGAAAGGTCGAGAAAACGTAAAAGTAGAGAGTCAGCCAACGGACTCGATTACAATACTTCCTTTGCTTACGCTCGGGAAGTAAAAAAATGAATAAATAAAGATCAAATTTTACATATTTTCCTAAGTGGACGTTATTCGTATGCTTGTGTACTAGTTTAAAGCGAATCTCAAATAATGTGTACAAAACAATTGTTTTGGCTCAGTATTATGTCTTCTAATTACTTATTTTGCGTTTATGAATTTTGTCAAATATTAGAAATATTTTTGGTCTATATGTGGTGTGAGTGCCAAACTTTCTCATTCGTAAAATACTTGTTTGTAAACGCAGAATTTCGCTAACTCCTGAATACATAAATATATAATTGTTATTCAAGAATGTCAAAAAGATTCACCACATGAGTTTATCATCAATGTACTATATTTCGGGACTAATGTTTCTGTTCTAAGAAAATTGATTTTATTGGTATACCCACCTCTCACTGTAAAAGGAGTTCTAAATGAAATTTAAAATTTAATTTTTAGTGTTTTATATTTCTCACTCTAATAGACCACAATAATTTGTGTTTATAAAAATCATTTGTCACGAAAAAATTTTCAGTATTTGAAAAAATCGAAAATCTTGGGTGTGCCAAACTTCTTCGCTGATAGGAGAGATTCCCATAAATACGGAAGTTCGGCAACACCTCAAAACGTGATGTATGTATTTAAAAAAAATGAGAGAATGTGTACACTGGGGTAACTACTGCATAGATAATGCTTTTAGGCTTTTTTTTATAACTTCTATTAAAGCTGATATAAACAGACTTTCGTCGTATATTTTTGTAAATTCATCTCAAGTGGTATCTAAAAATATTATTTCTTTATTATTTATTCTCAAAACTTAAAATAATGTTTTTATAACATGTCGTCAATTAGCAGAAGTCTCATGCGCGTCAATAATAAATTCTAGTGGCTGCCAAACTTCCTCATGGATGAGAAAAAAATCTATAAATACAGAATTCTGGCAACTGCCTAAAACATAA